CAGTTTGTTGGTATGGGACTGCATAACCAGGGTGCCCAGGTGGCCATAATGTTATGGCTGATAGGTGAGAGAGACTAAGGCTAATGTAATAATATACAGTAAAAACAATACATATTTTGTGATCATTGAGGATTTGGATACAATGATTTTATTTTATTGGCATCTCACCAAAACATTTTACATGTTTGCAGCTACACTGGTCCTTAAATTAAAAGAATCTGGTTCCTCTGGCTCCTCCACTGTAAAATCCACTGTACCCAAAATAAAACAACCAATCAGAACCAAGAAAGATAGTAAGACACTTTGGTCTCTGATTGGTTGTTTTCCTTCAGGCGCAGTGGATTCATGCAAACGGCATTAGGAGCACGAGGAAGAGCCAGAGGAACCCTTTTTTACAGATTATCTGTCTCATGTACTACTGTCAGGATATAGTGGGTTTTAGCAACTTTTTAATAAAAGTTACCTACTGCAGCTTTAATGACCCTGGCTTTTGCTTATGTTCACATGCAACCTCTGTTATCTATGCTCAGGTTTCCCTGCAGAACAGGGGCTCTCATTTCTGTGGAGGGGCCATCCTGACTGACCGCTGGATAATGACCGCTGCACACTGTTTTGCATCACTCTCAAAGTACGGTTGTTACTTACCGTGTATCGTTTTATCTTTCGTGTTGCAAGTTACAGGTTGCAGGTTGCAGGTTAATGTATGATTATTGCATTAACTGTACAATAGATTGTCATGGATCTAATACCTTTCTCCCCTGTCTAGAGAGTTTCTCAGTGGTGTGAGAGTGGTGGTGGGAGAGTTCGACCAGAGGGTAGATGATGAAGAGGAGCAGGTCTTTTTCATTAAGTCCGTCTCAGTCCATGAGAAGTACCATCATGCGTTGCCTATGGTCTATGACATAGCTCTGGTGGAGTTGGATAAACACATTCGATTGGGCAGGTTTCCACTTTGACAATTAGTACAGTTTGTTTAGATGCCAGTGAGCCCTTACTGTAGCACTGATCACATTTTGTAAGTCACTGATATGTGATCTCTTCAACAGGAGCCCGTGTCCACCCCATATGTCTGCCTTTGCCTGATGAGAGCGTCCCACCTGAAACCAGCTGCATTCTGGGTGGATGGGGCAGAGTGAAGGAAAGTAAGTAGATATCTTACTCCCACCAGATATTGTTAAAGCAAAGTTTTATTTGGTTATATTCTATTCTACTGTTTCCTAGAGGGTCGTCTTCCTGCAGTGCTGAGAGAGGTCCAGTTAGATTTGGTGGACCCAGCCAGATGTAAATATATCCTCCAGACCGTCAAAAGTTCAATTGTTAAACAGAGACCAGACAGGCCTCAGCCAGCCATGACAGTTCTGTGTGCCGGGCCAGAGAGAGGAGGGAGAGATGCCTGCCAGGTAGAAAAAGCAAAGTAACATCTGCAACATCTGTCTGTTTTTTCCACTGAGCCGATTCTGATTTACTGAAAGCAGTGCAGCTTTACTAATACCTGGAAGTTATGAATCAGCCATCAGTTATAAAAGAAAGCATTGAATAGGGTCTGCAGTGTTTTTGTCCTCCCTTCATCCTCCTCTAGGGTGACTCAGGGGGTCCTCTAGTATGTCCGGCAGGGTCAGGCGGCGGTCACTGGGTAGTGATGGGTGTAACTTCCTGGGGCAAGGGATGTGGTCGGAGCTGGGGAAACAACAGCAGCCGTGCCCCTTCCAGAAGAGGATCTCCAGGAGTTTACACTGATGTCAGGCTGTTGCTGCCCTGGATTAAACGTAAACTGAAAGAGGGTAGGGCTGATTGTCTTTCAGAAGTCAGTCTAAGGCATCTTAAAAGAATACAAGATGGTGGTGATTTGTTTTTAACCATTATTTGTCTAAGGATCTATTTATCACCATCACAGTTTATCAGGATAATCCAGGGCTCACTGACTATAATGTGTAGAATAGCTTGATTTGAAATACTCAAGTGCAAGTACCTCAAAATTGTACATTCCAGTACATGTGCACAAAGGTTTGCAAGCTGGGTGTGCTTGGTAAGATTACTGGACCCCTTAATATTTGTAAAATGTGGCCCGCCTAACGTCATTTAAAATCCTTCGGTAATGAGTCTAATATTAGATTGTATATGGGTATAGATGAATGTATACTGTAGGTGTCTGTACACAATTCTACCAGAAGAAGTTCATGTATTGGTATAATATTTAATAATAATAGTAGATACATATTACATTATTTATGTTTGTCTGTTTGCTTTAGCTGATGAGCAGCAGCGGGGGATGACTTCATCAAGTGAGTTGTTTTTGCTCTCGTCACAGCACCTCTTATTCATCTATATTTCATAATGCTTCTTTGATGCATGCAGTACTGTGCATGCGTGTGTGTGTGCATGTGTGTGTGTGTGTGTCAGAACTCTGCAGCGTGAGAGATGGACCTGTATCTGACAGTGAGGGGGTAACCAGAAACCCCACCCGCCCTGGTGATCACTATGACAACAACCAGTGAGTGACACTCCAGATAAGGAGAAAGAACAAATGTTTGTAACTGTGACTTAACCTCCATAAAACCAACATCATTTACAGTGATAATCCTTAGAGGTCGAATATGTATAGGTATTCATTAGTTTTCATTAGTGTATAATCACCTGAAAATAAATATTGTTATGTTGTTGTTGCCTCAGAACTAGCCGTTTTTATCTATCGATGCTGCGTGTCTTCTTTAATGTAGGCCACCATGTTGAAACCGTGATGTTTCTACAGTAGCAGAGGGGACAAACCAAACACTGGCTCTAAATAGGGCCGCTGCGTTTTTCTTGCATTTTGGGGTCAGAGTAGTTTCTCCTTTGCACTTGGAAGGGGAAGGTGAAGCGAGGAAGTTGCAATCTACACAATGGGCCTTTTACATTTACACTAAACAGAAGGTCTCTTTGCTCCTTACTTAAACTGTTCCACAATCAGCACAAAGAGATCAAAATACAATCTATCACACTATCAGTTGAATAATTATGTAATGTTCAGTGTCAGAAATCTATAAAAAACAATTATTTGCCTTTTAGCTCAGACTTCACAGCAGCCATTTTGAACCAATTATGGTTCAGTTCCATTTAGTGTAGCAGAGCCTTTCTAGGGAGTCAAAACAGTGTGTCTCTCTGTCTCTGTGTCTCTTCAGGTTGTGTGTGTGGGGTATCAGTGTTCCTCCAGGTTTTAGTATTCTGTTGGAGTTTGATCATTTTGATCTGGAGAATGACTCTCACTGCCGCTACGACCGACTCACCGTTTCAGTCGGGACATACAGGCCTGTTGGTGAGTTTTAGCCACACACGATTGACTGCACATTTATTTGCATAAACTCTCATCAGACCCCCCAGGACCACTGAAAATGTGCCATTTAATTAAAGAAATAGTTTAACATTTTAGAAAATACACCTATTTGCTTCTTTTCTATTTTGATAGATTGAGGATGAGGAGAAGAATAAAAATTTTACATACAGTCCAAAGTCTCTAAACATCTCTACATCTACATCTCTAGAGCTGCCTTTTTGCTAACCTGTACATGAACAGAAATGTAAAAATTACAATTTTAGGGTTAGTTATGTGTGGGAGCTATTTCTTGCCAAACAATTTTGAAGTTTGTTCTTTAACCCAGCCAAACATGGTTGGTAAGCACAGGTTTCAGCTATGCTCTCTGCAAAGCAATGATAGCAATCCTGGAAACTCACAGTGACAGCAAGACTTCTGGAAGCTGTACACAGTGACTGTGTCAGGCTGTTGTTCTCCAAGCAATTGTTCCAGCACATAACTCCTGCTAAAACCATTAACCTTTTACATTCCTTCCAGATGCAAACTCAACGTACTGTAGAGACATGAGAATGATATCAATCTTTTCATCTCATTTGTGGAAAGAAAGCAAATAAGCCAAAGAACCAGTTTTACTAATTCCTTAAGTCCTTGATTTGCAAAGAGTCATTCACTAATTACACATTAACAGGTTACATATATGCAAACACATAGCAAAAGTAGTCTAATACAGCAATGAATTACAGGCCAGATCTGGTAGTCACATATAGGCCATATAGCCAGCCAACACTGAACACTTGTAAACAGTTTCCTACAAAGAGTGCTGAAACTTGTGTGGTCCAACACAGGACCAGAACAGGCCAGCTATGGTCATACAGTTGGCAGGGTTATGGCTATGTCATGGGCTATTTGTGGCTACCAGATCTGGCCCACATGTGGACCACAGTTCATTGCTGTATTTGGGCTGAATGTATGACCCGGACCAGTTTTGCTCTGTGGGAGATAACGTGTGCACATACAGCACATACTATACTACAATATGCTTTAGCCTTATTTGGCTTTTTTGCCATTTTTTACAGGGATTTTCTGTGGAAGTGTCCCTCCAGGTCCACTACTCCTGAATAATTCCCAGAATGCAACACTTCTCTTTTCCTCTGACATTAACCGAGCAGGAAGCGGCTTTGTCATTAGGCATCGTGCTGTCCAGGGACGCTTTAATCCTGGTGGGAAACACAACACACGACACAAACACACAATATATTGTACAGTGCACAGACACACACATCTCTTCATGTAACACCAGAGTGTATGTACAGTGCAGTGCTGCAGGCTGATATACATTCTGCTCTGTGTCCATTACTTAGCTTCAACTGTATATAAAGTTCATACACAGTTTAACCCGTTGCTATGTCGGTTGATTGTGGAGCTCGTAGCAACCCAGTGGTTGTGCGGGCACATATCCCATGACACAATAATGAGTGGCACAAGACACACACAAACACACACACACATACACACACACACACACAGACTTTGGCTGAGGAGCTGTGGAGAGGATGAACCCAGCTGCTAATAATGGGTCTTTTGTTTTTAGTGTGCAGATGAGTGTGTGTATTTGTGTTAAACTGGTCAGTCTTCTGTGTAGTAATGCTCGGTGTGCCTGTGTCT